GGCCAACCTCCTTTGTTTAAACGCTGTGTTTGGGTTAACGCTTAAACACGTTTGATTTCAAACACGCCTGCGTGCATATGGACCGGGCCCCTCGCGGTAACCTGGGTTGGCAAACCACCGGATGGCGGGGCACTACTCTGACTCAAATGTGAAACCCCAAGCCAGTCTTCTCAAAGACTAGGGCACTGCGGGCTAACAAGCGCCAGCCCGGTGGGGCTGGTGGCGCACAAGACAGGGAGACTCTCGTGTCCTTGGCCGGACCCCTACCCCGGGGCTCAACAACAGCTCAACTCATGGGGCGGGTTCTCACCCCAGACCCAGAAGAACACCCATCTGCCGGGCACCCTCATTACCCTCCAGACCCCGGCACCCCCCAGGCTCCCTCTTCTCCCATAAGCCTGCCTTCCCGAGACTCGGTGGGCGGTAAGTTAGGCAGGAGAGACGGCTCACCTTCCGGCACGAACATGTTGGCGATCACCATGGCCCCAGCCAGGATGAGGAAGGCGGCCACCGTGACCCGGCGGCCGACATAAATCATGGTGGTGGTGGCCACCAGCATGGCTGGGATGTCGATGAGCCCGAACAGCACCTGCACCAGGTAGATGCTGAGCCCGAACTTCTGCAGGTCCATGGCCAGGCCGTAGTAAGCCACGGAGTTGGAGAACCTCGGGGAGAGAGCAGAATGGCCCCGTCACTGTGAGGGGTCACACTGCCCTAGGCCTGGAAGGGGACACAGGTTGAGTGACACAGGAGTCCGGTCCACAGGAGTCCTGTCCACAGGAGTTTGCAGGCCCTTGTCGGTCCCTCCTTCCTGGCCTCCATGTTCCCTGACTCTGGCCTTGGGGCCTGACTGAGGCCTCCCCCACCTCCCTCTCCAGCCTCACGCTCCCCTGAGTCCCTTCTGGGGACCCTGGGGCTCGTGTTGGTGTTTCCTGTCAGCACCACTTCTGCTCCCCACCCCACCCCGGCCCCCGCTGACAGGTGCTGATCTGAGTGTCAGAAGGAGGAAACAAGGGAAGGGACTTCGAACCAGATGGAGGCTCCATAGAACCCCGCCGGCTCCGGCAGCTGCTTTAGCCTTTAAAGGACGGCTGCGTGAACCGGAAGTCCACCCCGCTGAGCCTTCCAGAAAAACTTAAGAGCCTTCCCCCAAGGCAGGGGGAGTGGGGGCCAGCCTTCATGCACCCCTGCTGGTTGAACAGGTTTTATTTCTGTGCAAACCACAAGCTGGCATGCGCCCAGTGGCCGCAGGGGTTCAGGGAACGGGCACTGGGCTCTCAGAGGAGTGCCAGCGTCCACCTGTCTGCAAAGCACCTTGTGAAGGAACTCCAACCACTCCTCCAACCTACTCGGAGCCACGGGGGGTGGGTGGGGGGGTGCGGAGATGGAGAGGGGAGGGCTGGAAACGTCTAGAAAACCAACCAACGAATTCCCGTCAGCCCTAGGCTGGTCCCACCCTGGGGTGGAGGTGAGAGATGAGGAAATGATTTTCCACTCTTTGAAACAATAGCAATGATGACCGACGACTGTATAACCCCACTCAAGGGGGGATGGACATCAGAACTTGCGGTGAATGGATACATCGGATGATGTAAGTTATGGCAAAAAACCCCAATAGTAATAATATAGAACGTGCTAGGATTCAGGGGTGGTAGGGTGGGGGAGGGAGGGGATAAAGGGGAGTTGATATCAAGGAGTTCAAGAAGAAAGAAAATGTTCTGAAAATGATGATGGCAGCGATTGTACGACTATGCTTGATCTCACGGAACTGTGGGTTGTAATACTATCTGTAAGAGCTCCTAATAATGTACACTGGTACAGATAGGAACTGAAAATACAGGGAATCCAGGGCGGATGATCCCTACAGGACCAGTGGTGTGAGTGGCGAAACAGGGA